TCTTGGGTTTCCAATTTATGTGTAAAAAATAACCAATTTTGAGATCGGTTTAAAATATTCAAATCTTATCATGTATATAACTAGGTGAGTACTCGTGCATACACGCGGAAATTTTCTGGTATATATATTTTTTTAAATTTTTTTCCACTATATCTAAATATTTGTATGCTAAGAGGAACTTTAACAGAAAAGAATATATGGTAAGAAGAAAGGATATATAGATTTTAATGCCATACATAGTTATCAATGTCTATGTACCATTGTTTTCGAATTGTGCTTCTGATGATGGTTCTTCTTTGTTTCTCTATTTGTTTGCCTTCATGATGTTATAACACGAGTGCTAACACCTATTTGTTTCATGTTAACACCTATCGGATGTTTTCAATGAAGAATAAACTTTGTAGATACTTTCCATGTTATAGTCGAGTGTTTTTAAGGATTTTTCAAGCGGCCTTACTAATTAAATAATGACATTAATTGCGTATTCTCCTCGAGTCCTCCTAAATAAATATGCCCTACTGAGCTCCAAATTTATAAGCTTTGAAATGACCATCGACTTCTCCTTGCATTCTCTAAACATCATATTTGCTAAGCCTCTGCACACACATAATTTCTGCAATCTTTGCTCCAACGTTGCAGCTCGTGTATACCTAATAAAGGAAAACGTAATATGAATCACCCTGTGATACTGGCGGGAGAGGCACGAGCAAACAAATTTGCGTCAGTTAGGCGTTAGTTAAAATGTATATCGAAAGATGTACATGAATTTTTTTGCAATATCTGTCTGAACACAACATCTAGCTTTGATAGAGCTTTAGAGAGGAAATTGTGAGCATGACTAATAATTCCACTGGCACTCTTATGCATTTTGTTGGAGCTGGAAATTTTGATAGTGCCTCTCACTAGCTCAGTTGCTTGTAGATAGCTCTGCGTTTGGTCCTCTCAATAATTTAGCTCCCATCAGAAAAGTTATCCTATAGATTTCCGTTGAAGACAAACTTGTCCGTTGAAGAGAAAAGAATGATTAGTTGGAAGAGAAGCAAAGAAATGAAACATGTGTATAAGAGTACATAAAGTCAAGATTTTCTAACCTTTTGCTACAGTCTGAAACCGTTGCCGATGAGTGCAGGTAGATCTCCATCTCTGCTATGCTTGACAACGAAGTTGAATTGAAGCATTAAGTATATATTACATTGTTCGTTAAGTTGAAGTAACTATTTTGTAGAGCTATCTTTTCCAATATACATGGGGGATAATAGTTTTGAACATAACATCCGTAACTTTGATCAAGGGGGACCGATTTAGAATGTCCTACATTGTAAGCAAGAGCTGAGATGAACTAAATGAGTGCAACATTATGGCAGCATAGGTTGAATTTAAGACTTGAAGAATGTCCTGCATTGTAAGCAAGTGGGAAACTGCATTCTTAGCTAAATCCTAACATCCGGTAGCAAAAATCAAGCTCGTATATGATTACAAACCATGATATATATGAGCTTAGTAAATAACTTCACAGGTGCATATGATTACAATCTTATGAAGTCTTGCTGCGAGACTAAAGTAGCAAAGATTTTTTCAAATGTCGATGTTTTGCTATTTCATTCGCCAAGTCTTTTCTTCAGAAATAGCAAAACATAATAATTGTTAGTGTTTGTGATTATATTGCTAATTTACAGGCATTTTTACAGCAGCAAACACTGATGACACGTGTTTTGCTATTTTCAAATAACTAACCAAATTATAAAAAAGAAAAATTTCTTATTTTTAAATTAATTATGAGAAAAAGGAAATTTTTAATAGTCTAGCTAGTTTAAACTAATTACAAAAAAAAAATAGAGATAGTATAAACCACACAAAAAGAGCAAAAAAAATCAAGTAAGAAAAATATTATCGACAGTTTGACACGTAAATAAAATTATAACTTACCAGATCATGACATGTGTTCAATAATGATCAGATGATAACATCCGTTAAAAATTATAATTAATTAGAAAAAAAAGTAAAACTAATAAAAGAAAACGAACAAAATAATTATCAAACATTATATATAAAGAGACTATAAACAATACAAAAAATCAAAAAAAGTAAAGAGGAAATAGAAATTTTAATTAATAAAAATATTTGAATGAAAATCTCAATGTTAAAGTTTAGAAAAATATACCAAAGAAAAACAAATTAACAAACAATTTTATTTTGTAAACATATTAGATAAAATATGACAATAAAATAGAAATCTTCTACCTATATTTTTCAGTGTGAAAAAAGAAAATTACATAAGATAAAAATTTATACATATTATAAAATAATAATAACAATATATTTACTGTTAAAATCTAAAAATGTAAGATTTGACGAGTATATATAGATTTATGAAAATAAACCAATGACATTTATCAATCATAGATTTATATATAATACTTGATAAAACTATTTACAAAGTATTTTATAAGTTTTTAAGAGACTATTCCCATAAATTTATTGCTTTATGATTTAACATTTTAACTTTATGATATTTTAATTGTTATAAAAGTTTGTTAGTAAGAATATATAGTTAATAAGATATTTTTGGGTCTACATCATATGAAATAAGACATGAGAATTAAGATATGAATTAAACTTTAATGGTTGAAGACTCATGT